ACCATAAACTATACATCTTGCACACTACACATCATTGCAAAATATAATGTGAATGAAGTGAATGTTTCTTTGCACACAGTAGCTCATGAGTATTGCCAGTGGAAATAGGCTGTTTTACATGATGCAACTAATGATTCCTACAAGTAGTTTGCACTAATTAACTTTTGGGGAACGGGTCCAACTGGTTCCGATTTCAACTAAGACCGGGTCCGACTGGTTCCAGAAATGTCCAGCCGGGTCTGGTTCGAGTCTGGTTCCCAAAATTTTCATCTTTTGCCACCTCTACTTCTAAGTGAGTGATGGTGAGCGGTATGGGACCGCTACTGGTGAAATTGGCCATTTCTCACCGCAGTTTTAGTTTATTTGGTGCCCAATAAAGTATAAACTGTAGGCGATTCAATGAAGTAAAATGCGCATTTTATTGGTGGTTATTTTGTTGTTATTTTTGTGATGATTAATATAGAAAAAAAAACAGGAAATTCGAACACGATTTTTCGCGTTGGCCATTGGTAGCCCTCCTTAGGTACTTTATTGCTTACGCGATGATCCGCTGACGAATGAATCGATCACTTTAGCTAGTCTCGCCACTAGGTGGCATTAATGTCAAACGCCTGAAGATATACTGCACCGCCAGACACGGGTAGTTCAAATCGTTCCACTAGGTGGCAGCAGCGTTATGTGCCTGAAGCTATGCTGCACCGCCAGACATGGGTAGTTCTGATCTCGCCACTAGGTGGCAGTGGTGTCAAGCGCCTGTGAATATGCTGTACCGCCGGACACGGGTAGTTCAAATCTTTCCACTAGGTGGCAGCAGCGTCAAGCTCCTGCCGATATGCTGTTACCAGACATGGATAGTACAAAGCTTGCCGGTAGGCGGCAGCAGCGTCGTGCGCCTGAAGATATGCCGTGCCGCCAGACACGGGTAGTTCAATGCACCGCCAGACATGGGTAGTTCCGATCTCGCCACTAGGTGGCAGCAGCGTCAGGTGCCTGTGGATACGCTGCACCGCCAGACATCGAATAGTTCAAATCTTGCCGGTAGGTGGCAGTAGCTTCCAACGCCTGTGCAATGTGCATATGCTGTGCCGCCGGACATGGGTAGTTAAAATCGTTCCACTAGGTGGCAGCAGCGTCAGGCGCCTGTGGGTATGCTGTGCCGCCAGACACAGTTAGTTCCCATCTCGCCGCTAGGTGGCAGCAGCGTCAGGCGCCTGTGGCTATGCTGTGCCGCCAGACACAGTTCCCATCTCGCCGCTAGGTGGCAGCAGCGTTAGGCGCCTGAAGCTATGCTGTGCCGCCAGGCGCGGAGCTACGGCGGATGCTCAAGCCGCGCGGAAAGGTGGCGTTTAAAGGGAACCCGTTTAGGTATTCTGTAACAAGTAACTGCATCAGAGACATTCTAGTGCATTCGTGTGCCTTTCGTTGTTACAACACCTTGATCAAAATGCAATGGGTTCAAGTTACGTGAACTACGGGAACATGCAATGCTTATAACGCAATCACAAGATTCCCGTGCTTGTATCATGCGCCGAACGATTTGTTGCATCAATTGCTGTGGCAACAACTCAATTTCAATCGCCCTCGAATTTGGATGAATGTTTTAATTTTGGTGGACGCCAGCTATCATCCTCTATGAATCTTGTATGCCTAATATCTCCAGACCCCAAACAGAAGATCTAATAGTAGCGTTCATGATAATGATTTCAATTACGGAAAATCGGAATACCGATACCAAACCAAATACCAACCAAAACCACGGGAAAATACCGAAACCAAACCAACTTGGGAAACTGAGGGAAATACCAACTTTTTACCGATTTATTAGCCTCTTATGCATTAGTGAGGGCTTATGATACCAACAAAATACCAAACACATTACGATTGAAATACCAAATACCAAGTTGGTATCGGCTTGGTATCGGCATACCAAAAAGTTGGTATCCGATTGACATCTCTAATTCATGACAAAAACTAGCACTAGATGGCATGTTTTGCGCTATAACTGTGCGTTTTGATAGATATATTTGATGGGGCATTAGTTTGGGTGTTGGAACATGATTTTTATTTGTCTTATTTTGTCGGAGTTGGATATTTGTTTGAACGGCATGTTATGCTAGTGCTGGTTGCGGGTTGTTAGAGTCTTTCTCATGGTTTGCCTTTATCGAACTCAAACCCACCCTACCCTACCCTACCCATACCCTACCTTAATAATAACCTACACATACAGGGTGTCCGAAAATTGATTGCACACTCTTTTAGTACATTTGACAAGGAAACAAAACGAGCATGTTTCATGGTTTATTTGCCGATATACCCTCCACCCAGTCGCACACACTCCCTCATACGGTCGGGCATGCCGCACATTAGGTTATCCAGTGTTTCCGCACTGATGCTGAGCCACGCTCGCTGGAGGTTCCTGATTAGCGCCTTCTCGGTGGTAGCCGGCTCCATCATGTCGAGCTCGCTTTGCACGATAGCCCACACGTTCTCGATGGGCGACAGGTCAGGGCTGTTGCCCGGCCATACGCCCTTCTCCCAAGACCCTGGGAGGTTGTCCCGGCACCACTGTTGAGTGCTGGTGGCGTGATGAGCCGGAGCGCCGTCTTGCTGGAAGATCGCCTCGGACATCTTCAGGAGCAGCTCGACCTGTGTTGGCGGCCCCGTCTTCCTCTTCCGCTTCATCGCCGACGCTGCCGACTTCTTCAGGACCTCCTCCACGTAGTACTGGGCCGTCACGGTCTGGCCGCGGGGGACGAAGTGGAGCTCCGACAGGCCCTGATGACTCATCATGGCCCAGACCATGACTTTCAGCGGCTGCTTCACCGTGTCGATGGCAGGCACTTCAGCGCTGCTGTGCGCCCAGACGCGCTCGTTCTGGCGATTCGGCGGGTGCATGAGCTCGAACACCGACTCATCGCTGAACAAGACACGCCGCCAGTCCTGGATGGTCCAGTTCTTCCGCTCCCGGGCAAATGCCAGCCCTTTCCGCTTCTGGGCTTCGGTCAGTTTTGGCTGGCGGCGCAGTTTTAGCGGCTTGAGACCCAAGCACTTGGTCATGTAGTTGTGAACAGTGGTCTTCGACACCGGGTGACCCTTCTCAGTCAGCTTTTTGGTCAGTTTCCGCGTCGATTGGCGTAGTTTCAGCACGGTCTTGGCGAGTACGATTTTGGCCACTCTGCTCAGCACAGTCTTTCTCCCACGACCCTTGCGATTCTCCAGTGATGCACCGCTGCGGTCGAGAGCCAGCCAGTAATGAAAGGTCCGGCGAGATACGCCCACTTGTCGGGCAACATCGCCTACCGTCATCCCGGCTTGAACCATCCCAACCGCGCGGTGGCGCGTCGTCAAAGTGTGCTCCCTCACCATTCCCGATATGGGGCCCGCGCGCGAAGACTGCCTCTCGGAAAATGACCTGTGGCCGCTCACTGCGGCTCGGGTCAGGTCACCTGCTGGGTCACGCGATCAACTAACACGCTGGGGTGCCCGAGGGCGGGGTCGCGACCCTCCCTAACCGGTTTGGCGGGAGCATGTGCGAGATACGGGCATATCGACAGTGTGCAATCAATTTCCGGACACCCTGTAGTTACCCTTCTTATACTTGATTAAAGTAACGTACCAAATTTGAGCGCAATCGGCACAGCCGTTCTTGAGATATAAAACTGGCCCACTGCACGTGCGCACGCGCTAACTGAGACTCCAGATGACTTGTGCCAGCCACCTTTCCAAATTGTCCCCAACAGTGAACAAAATTTGAGCGAAATCGGCCCAGCCGTTCTTGAGATGTATAAGTGGACCCCTCACATGCGCACGTGCAATCGATCCACCCTACCTGTCAGAAATGACCATGCATCGCCAGGTTAATGCCCCCTCCACCTACAGTCCAAGTTTCAGCGCAATCGGCACAGTAGCTGCTGAGTTATTCCTAGTATAAAAATGTACTGTTTACTGGTAAGCGCTTATTTGAAGTGTTTGGAATTCCCCTTGGCGGGCGGTGCATTGCAGCCCATGCTTTGATAGCTATTGTCATAAGTTGTATGACCTGCCGGCCATAAGCCATCGATCGGATTTTGTCGAAAAATACCTGTAACGTTTACAAAACACGGTCGTATGTTTGAGTTATTTTTACAAAAGTTTATTGACATTTCGATAATATTTTGGGTGGATATTGGTCAGAAAAGAATGCTCTTTCCGAATATGTAGGTTTCATAGCGATTGGTCAGCGTTTTCAATACGTTTTGATGTTGTAAAGGACACCGCGCTCCGCGTGAATCAAATTTTCAAATTAATTTTTCATTATTAAAGAAATGGTACGGATCATCACTTTTTATTTGCTTTCCTATCATTACACGTACATTTGCCTGCAAAATGGCACCACACCGATTTCATTCCGTCAAGCCGTTTTACAGCGGCATCGATTTTTCCGTCACAATGCACGAAATCGGTCATTTTTTCACAACCGCGGGTGCTGTCTTGCATGTGACGCGTGCTATACTACAAAACCATATCAATACGCTAGTTCCATCTCTCTTCTATCCATTGGTGGCAACGCCATCTCGCTACGGCCACCCGTCGCAGAGTTATAAGCTCGGGAAAGAAGCGCTGCAGGCCCGATTTTCGCCCGATTGCGATTTTCGTCGGCCCGTGTTAACCCTATGAGAGCACCCTTTTGCACGTGCCGACGGCGCACCCCTGGCCCGATCACCCCCAAATTTTAATACAAAGGCCCCCCACGCCCACAGATTCGGCATACCAAATTTCACGTCGCCACGCGGCGCCTTTCAGGCGCAATAAGACACATAAGACATGACATCGCAGGCATGGACGCACGGACATGTTATAATTCATAATATAGAGGTAGTTCCGATCTCGCCACTAGGTGGCAGCAGCGTCAGGTGCCTGTGGATACGCTGCACCGCCAGACATCGAATAGTTCAAATCTTGCCGGTAGGTGGCAGTAGCTTCCAACGCCTGTGCAATGTGCATATGCTGTGCCGCCGGACATGGGTAGTTAAAATCGTTCCACTAGGTGGCAGCAGCGTCAGGCGCCTGTGGGTATGCTGTGCCGCCAGACACAGTTAGTTCCCATCTCGCCGCTAGGTGGCAGCAGCGTCAGGCGCCTGTGGCTATGCTGTGCCGCCAGACACAGTTCCCATCTCGCCGCTAGGTGGCAGCAGCGTTAGGCGCCTGAAGCTATGCTGTGCCGCCAGGCGCGGAGCTACGGCGGATGCTCAAGCCGCGCGGAAAGGTGGCGTTTAAAGGTAGTGTGCCACCTTTGAAAGATTTCCCATTTTATTTTTCCTAGGATAAGAAGCTTCTGTTTTTACCTAATATCGCAAAAAAAATCAAAAATGGGCCTGGAATAGTGCCTTTTTCGCCTAAAAGTTTATCGGTTTTTAGATATGTATAACAACTGTAGTGGGCTCACCTGCAAACAGGCGTCGGGCAACAATCGCGAATGCGGCGCACTTGTGACAATAAGCAAAGGTCATTATAGTGTTACGACCATACGACGTACGGGAATGAGTTATCAGCTGTCTAATCGTAGACAACACAATGTCGAGCCTTAAACTGTAAGCCCGTATTGGTATTGTTTCTTTTATTTGGCTGTCGAGCATTATTTATGGTTTGAAATATGATTTTATGTAAAATAATTGATATGAAAAAGCCGTCTTATAAGTTATGACCCCATTTCACCACACGCAAGTGGCAGATATGACAATGATCAGCTGACGCATTTTTCTTGGCCGAAGTCAGAGCGCGCAGCCCGACGCACCACCACCGCACCACAAAGTATGAGCATAAGCCGCGCCCAAAGCCAGGGCCCCGGTAACGTGAGGTAGCCGAGTCGGGGCAGCGTGCGCTGACCCAAGCCGGGGCCGCAGCTTTGGGCGCGGTCTACCGCATCCCCGCGGGCAGCCCCGGGCTATCACATGACACCGGGAGGACGCGCGGCTCCGGCTTGGGTCAGCGCACGCTGCCCTGACTCGGCTACCTCACGTTACCGGGGCCCTGGCTTTGGGCGTGGTCTACCGCACCACCTAACAGGCGTGTTCGAAACCGCAGGAGCTGATGATGAACGGGTTTATCGAAACTTGATTGGATGAGCATATCGGTAATAGCGATTTCAGTGTGTGCATTTATTGTTCATAGTGGTGTGAAATGTGGTTGGGGTACGACCGACAACCCGTCGGGGCGAATTTTGCACTGGGGTACTCAAAATTTGAAGAATTTAAGACGTTTCCATGAGTTTTGAAGGTATGGATAAGTTCTAAAAATCCGGTTCTCCTTATCTGGGCCATTAACTCCATACGGTCCAAGAAAGCTGGCACACTACCTTTAACCCGCGCCCTGGTGGGGTCTGTTTATAACGCGACCTGGTGGGGGGGGGGGCTATTTTTTGCCCCCCCTCGTATCTCCGAAACTACTGGACGGATCTGCAAAATTCAAACGGCGTTCGAAAGGCCTGTCAAATTTGTCGAAAGAAACCAAATTTCATTGACCTCGGGGTCACCGATGACGTCACAGGTCAGGTCAAAGATGAAATGTTTCACCGTTCACGGGGCTTCTAGGGAATGCGCTATAACACCGAGGAAAACGCATTTTGTCGAGAATCAGCGGTAGGGCGTCAGTTGCCTAGTAGATATGTTGCTATTAGAGGTCACTGGCAATACCAGGTCAGGTCACAGGTCAGGTCACCAAGGGTCACAGGTCAGGTCACATGAGCCCAACTTTACTAAGGTTGTGTGATGCATGTTTTATGGCCAATTTTTCATTTCCAACTCAATGGTGTTGGTTATAAGACTATCAGGTACGGCTTGGGTCAGTTTCTGGTGAAGTTCAGGTCAAGGTCAGGTCAAGGTCAGGCCAAAAAAGGTCAAATTTTAAAGTTGATAGTTTTGCATAAAATGGGTATTGATTCGATGCAGCTCGTCACGGGGAGTCTAATGGTGGTCTTTGTTTTGCGCTACGGGGTCTAGAATTGCTAAAAATTGAGTTTGAAAATTTGACGTCATCAATTTTGAACAGTTTTTTCGCTATAACTTCGCCAAAAAAAGAGGTATCAATCTCAAATTTGGTATGTGGATGGACGGCGGTAAGGACTATCACATATATTCCGGTTTTTGCGAAATTCAAAAAACTTTTTGGATTTTTCGATTATTATATCCAAAAAATCTATTTTTTGATTTTTGGGGGTCAAAATCCAAAAATGTCAAAAATCCGAGATAGCAGTTTTGTAGCCCTGTCCAATCTACAGCTTTTATGTCTTTATCATTTTTCTGTATTTGCAAAGCTATAGGCCTGACAGCTCTTCCCGCGAAACCTTTTTTTGGGTCGAAAACGGCAGAACATGACGTCACTCTGACGTCATTTCCGGCCAACCTATCATAGCCTTTGGAAAAATTTTTGGTCACAATGTGTAAAATTGATGTCCGGGAGGGTACTGAAAGTTTGGTGACGATCGGCGCAGCGGTTCTGGAGATATATCGAAAAGTCTGGAGGGGGGGCAAAAAATAGCCCCCCCACCAGGGCGCGGGTTAAAGGGAACCCGTTTAGTTATTCTGTAACAAGTAACTGCATCAGAGACATTCTAGTGCATTCGTGTGCCTTTCGTTGTTACAACACCTTGATCAAAATGCAATGGGTTCAAGTTACGTGAACTACGGGAACATGCAATGCTTATAACGCAATCACAAGATTCCCGTACTTGTATCATGCGCCGAACGATTTGTTGCATCAATTGCTGTGGCAACAACTCAATTTCAATCGCCCTCGAATTTGGATGAATGTTTTAATTTTGGTGGACGCCAGCTATCATCCTCTATGAATCTTGTATGCCTAATATCTCCAGACCCCAAACAGAAGATCTAATAGTAGCGTTCATGATAATGATTTCAATTACGGAAAATCGGAATACCGATACCAAACCAAATACCAACCAAAACCACGGGAAAATACCGAAACCAAACCAACTTGGGAAACTGAGGGAAATACCAACTTTTTACCGATTTATTAGCCTCTTATGCATTAGTGAGGGCTTATGATACCAACAAAATACCAAACACATTACGATTGAAATACCAAATACCAAGTTGGTATCGGCTTGGTATCGGCATACCAAAAAGTTGGTATCCGATTGACATCTCTAATTCATGACAAAAATAACTTTGCATTCGAAGCGCATAGAAACTGCAACAACCTGATCAACTATCTTACAGCTTACAAGCTCGCCTCGCTGCCAGCCTTAGCTAATATCCACGTTTTTCTCCTTTCCGCAGACTCTCGGAGGTACCGGTTCAACATCATTGCCGGGGCTGACTATGAGAGGGGCGACGCCCGCGCCATACTGGCCGTGGAGGTCATCATTACACGGAGCTCTCTCAACTGTAGCGCGTTGACCGATCAGGTAAGTCCGGGGTGGAGAGTGGGGTAGGAAACTGGGGAGGTACAGCTACAGTTGATCACAGGGATAGGGCTATGGGTTGAGGTAGAACAGTGGGTAGAAATAAGAGTAGGTGGCGGGTTAGGGTGTGAGGAAGAAAACTAGAGAGACGTCGCAGTTGATCGTGGGGTTGGTAGTGAGGAAGGAAACTGGTGAGATATCAGGGAAAATGGAAGGGTAATGTGCGAGATAGAAATCGTTTTAATGTTCTGGGTATGGGTCTAGGAATAAACGTTTTAAAATTTCGGCTTACGGGACTTAAAAGAGTTTGTGACTTTCAAAGACTAGCTCATTTTTTGAAAGAAAATACAAACTGTAACTCCGCACACGATGTACAAAGTTGGCTGTCCGCTACGGGCCAACATGAACCCAAACATTCTCTCACGAAAGAATACGCTCGGATGATCACTTCTCGCGTAGCCCGCAGAACACTTGAAGCTAACACCGACCAGTAAACTCAAAAGGTCACACACAGATTTCATGCGTCACGCACACGCTTCTGACAACCATTACGCAACGTGATTAGAACGCCACTCAAGGGTTCCACTTTGATATCCTGAGAGTTGTGAGTCGGTCTTTTGAGCACGGGATTAATTCTGTTCTTTGTGTCGTGGTCACAATGGGTAATAAAACGTACCTGGATGATATCAGATGAGGATCAGAGCGCTCAAAGGACATTGCTACTCCTGGCACTGGTCTCTTATGGCTGGTTAGCTGGGAAGAATAGGCAGTCAAACGTGCAGGAGCTTGGTAAGATTGAATTAGAATGAGATGGGGACATGGTAGGCAGAAAAATGAGACATGCGCAAAATAAAGTATATGAACGGATAATTTCACGATCGAGTCAATAAAACGGACAAGAGAAATCGGATACACAGCATCTGACATTGATAAAGTCCCATTGTAAGCAACGGTATACCGTATATGACGCCATTGATAACCGGCTGAACGAAGTAAAATTTCGCAGCTCACAGACATCAAAGTTTGGGTTTATCACTACCTGCTGCACAAGATGATACACCTGCCCCAGTTTTGCCACTATGATTGATTGTCCTGTGACTCATTTCTGGTGGGATTTCGCGTTTCCTCAAGCATGCCTCCTGAAACAAACAATCCTGGCTTCCAGCCATAGGCCGCAGGCTCTGTCTCTGCACTGCCATGATCACTGGTCGTGCTGTCACCCTGCATCCCTCCCCTCCCCTCCCCTCCGCTCGCCTCCCCTCCCTGCCGCGGGGACCCCCTCCCTGCTCTGAGCCCAGCGCCGGCTCCGACCCCCTCTGCTATGGGCAGCCACGTGCTGGAGGCCGATCGATCGCCAGCTTCCGGCGGCTCGGAGACTCTCAGCTCCGAGCCGGCCTGGACGGAGCTCTTGGAGGAGCTCCTCCGACGGACGGCAGCCGCGTCAGAGGAGAGGGAGGGGGAGGGGAGGGAGGGGGAGCAGCAACTGGTGGTAGGGGAGAGGAGGGAGTGGGTGGGGAAACGGTCATTGAAAAGACACGGTGGTGGAAACGACAGGAATGGTGTGAGAGAGGGGAGGGAGAGGGAGGGGAGAGAGAGAGGGAGGGAGAGGGAGAGAGAGCGAGAGCGGGAGAGAGAGAGAGAAAGAGAGAGAAAGAGAGAGAGAAGAGAGAGAGAGAGAGAGAGAGAGAGAGAGAGAGAGAGAGAGAGAGAGAGAGAGAGAGAGAGAGAGAGAGAGAGAGAGAGAGAGAGAGACCGGGGAGAGTCGGAACATACGGGGGCGAGAAATGAGTTGAGGCCTCTGGTCCTGATATGTGGAATGGTCTGATTAGATGACCTTTCGTGAGACATGTCTAGTGGAGTTTGCGGCGAATTATGGGAAAGGTGGGCAGCAGTGAGACTCCTTTGGGCAGAACGAATGTGCTCCGGTGGGCATGAAAAGGATCACTGGGCCGAAATTGTGGGGACTGTGTGGGCTGTTTGTGGTGAATTTGTTACAGTGGATAGGTGATGACTGTGAGAATGTGAGAAGTTTTGAGACCAAATGGCTGGTCAGCATGAATAAGGGAAAAGAAAATGGCATGAACACATGACAGCAATACAATTACAGTATTCAGATGCAGGGATACACCAGTCATAAATCATCTGTTATGAATGACAAATGATAATGACATTTCGGTAATGTCTCTGACCACTGGATGTAATGAGCAAAACAGAGCATTTTAAGGGATACATTGACGATAATTGGTCCATTGTATGTCTGGCCGTTGGAGGAAAACGGGAAAAATTTAGGACCAATATGTGGTTTTATTTTAATGTGACTGACAACGTTAGTAGCGATTGAATGGTAATTGTACCAGATTTCAAAAGGAAACAAATAAAAACAACAACAACGGAGACAAACTCTTAGATCAATACATCTCGTTTTTCTTTTATCCTCTTACGTCATTACATCTTATTCCAGTCAATTAGGCAGGTCCTTCTTTTTCATCCAGCTTTGGTCCGAACGATCTTTTTTGGCACGGACCATAGCTGGATGTCAGCCCTTCTGAGGATGGCTAGTCGGTAGAGATTCACGAGTTTTTGCTCGGATTTGTTCGGTAACAGAAATGGTCGTCGATTAGGGCTACCCATGTAGAAACATGTTAAACTGACATGGAATGGGGCGGGCACAGGTACCGATAATGTGACGGTTGACGCGAAAATAGTTCGCATGGCTGAAGAATTCCCAGTCCAACAATATAGTATGACATCGCTCAGGCTTCAAAGGCATCCTCTCTAGGTAGTCAGTCATTGCATATGTACATTAATGAAGTGATAGCGTTTAGTTTTCCAGCAAGGCATTGGTGGCCGAAGTAGGTTCCTTGGAATTCTTACAATGCTAATGACTTGAGTTTGGCGTTGAATGTAGTGCTTCACGATGACAATTGCTCTTAACGAAATGCAAGAAGGCGATAACAACCATATGTATACATTCATCATAGGCGAAAACATAGGGTAAAGGCAAACGACACACAACACCTTTCATGCACAATTGTTTCAAAAATCAATCTCATGACTCTCGTAACCAGTATGCTCTCGATTCTAAGACAAGTGATCTAGCCCACGCATCACGTTCATTCTCGAAACTACTGCTTCAGAGGCCAGATAAATCCCAGTCAGTAATCTTTTCACTGGAATGTGAGATGTGCTGCCTGCGATTTGAATATGATCGTCGATTGGATGGAGGGATTACGTTGGCTCTGATCGGAAGCTATGACGAAATATCACGTGCGTTGAAGGGTGCGGATCTTGGAAGGCGTATCATTGAATTTCGATTTTCCATGCTGTGTGGTATTCACTGTGCAGTGTCACTTCATATGCATATGTTATGTTCATATAAATCTGTGTTTTGGGCCCAAATAGGCTATCTTTACCTACGCGTTTTTGTTTGTTTTTGCATTTTTTCACTTACCTACATATATAGGTACAGTCCACAGCAGAAGTAATGTGTGGTTTCAGTCATGGGTATGTTCTGCTTCTGAAGCCTAGGAACGATTAGCCAGACTGCAACGAGACTTTAAATGTAGCTTACATGTATCTTCACCCTTGCAGCTACAAATTTATCTATTGACGTCTTCTTTTCAATCAGTCCGCATTTAAAAATCGTCGGTCAAAGCCATCCGTTGAGATTGGTAAAACCACACATTACTTTAGCAGTGGGCTGTGCCATGTATTCTATATTTATGCATGAACTTTGAGCAGTACATGCTATATATTATATTTTGCTATATTGATCAGTAATTGTGCGATAAAATTAAAGCGAGGAAATGTGTGATAAAAACAAAACGCAAATGTTACCATAAAATCATAAGCGTTTAACTGTTGTCAGACTAGCCCACCGTTGACTCTAATGTCTCTGTGTACCTCCAGGAGCTGTGCTGGGGCCCCTGGGAGTTCCTCTCCGGTCTCCAGTGGTTCGAGGACCCCCTGCAGGGCCCGGCGGCAGGTGACCCGCTCAGGGTCGACTTCAGGTCACCGGCTCACGTGCTCTGTGGCGCCCCCGAGTACCGGTTCACTGCCGAGAGGGCTAAAGACGGTGAGTTGGAGCGTGAGTTTCGGAGGGCTTGTGAGTGTTCAGTGTGTCGTAAGCTTGTCGTGATAATGTAGTTTGTCGTGAGTGTTGAAGCTGTTTTGATTTTTTTTTTTTGCCGTGCTCTCTTGTGATTCAACATTTGGTATCAGTGGTCTATTGTGAGATTGTCAGTGGCGCTTTGAATTTGATGGCATCGTGCTTAGAGGTTAGGTGGCTCAGCTCTCCGGGACGCCAGTTTGGTGTACAACCTAGATTGTGTCGGTGAATCTGGAAATATTTGAGGTATCACTGCTTGCATTCACCAAGTCTTAGGATGGTTTGTTGCAAACATTAACTATTAAATTAGCTGAAACAGATTGTTTCACCAATGGGTACTTGTAATGGCTTGCAACATTAAATGTAACTACATGTTACTGATTTAAATAATATATTACGTAACCAGCTGATTCACCGATATGTACTTGTAAATGACACGGCTCCCAAATTTCGTGTAATTACATGCTACTGATTTTAATCTGTTGTTTAACCCGCGCCCCACTGGGGGGGGGCTATTTATAGCCCCCCCTCCCGTTTTTCTGTAATAACTTCCAAACCGCTTGACGTATCGACGCCAAACTTTCAGTACCTTCGGCTGCATCAATTTGACACCTTGTGTCAAAATTTTAACTTCGTAGCTACCATAGGTCGGCCGGAAATGACGTCAGAGTGACGTCATGTTCGGCCGATTTCGACGCAAAACATTGAACCACGGCAATCGCTCCCAAGAGCTCAGTTTTTAAGCTAGATCCAATTTCTTTGCATGAGAGGACTCGGAATAGACTGCGCTATCAAACTGCTATCTCGGATTTTCGAAATTTTGAAAATTTCGAAAATTTGATATAATGAAATCCAAAATTTATATTTTTACATTTTTTTTCAAAAAGTTTTTGACTTTTCGAAAAAACCGGAATATATGTGATAGAACGCATTATTATGACTAACTCTAGCAAGTTTTAGCTAAATATCTTCAAAAATGGCCAAGTTTTACGCATTATTGCAAAAAAATTCACAATTATTAATTTTCAAATCAATTTTTCAGCACGTATTTGACATCGTACGCCAATATAAATAGCACCATCGTGTTCCTGAGCTCAAACTGCATCAAATAGACAACTCTTTTGTTAAAAAATTTTAACTTCAAAATTTGACCTTTTTTGACCTGAAAGTGACCTGACCTAAGCTAAATTCGACTCAAAATGACCTCGAATGACACAGACGACATCACATTCGAAATCTCTGGCCTAAATGGACCACAAAACATGTGTCACGTGACCGACGCATGATATAATATTTTCGTGACCTGTGATGACCTGACCTTGACCTGAAAATCAAAGTACAAGTTTGGTACCCTCGGGGTATCTAGAGCATCTGTTCACGAGTGTGTGATCCAAAACTGAGCCTGATCTGACTTGTAAGACGGCGACCAGAGCCCAAAACGTGAACAAGCAAAATGCTAATAATTTTTACTTTGACCTGACCTGTGACGTCATCGGTGACCTCGAGGTCAATGAAATTAGGTTTCGCTCGACAGTTTTTCCGGGGCTATCAGACGCCGTTTGAATTTTGACGATCGGCCCAGTAGTTTCGGAGTTAGGAGGGGGGGGGGGGCTATGAATAGCCCCCCCCCCCCCCCCCCCAGTAGGGCGTGTTATACGCAGACCCCAGTGGGGCGCGGGTTAATCTTAATCTGTTTTAATCTGTTGTTTAATCTGTAACCAGCACTAAGGCCGCAAATTGATCATCCCATCTACCAATGCGTAGGCCGTATTCAATTTATGACGTCACATCCACTGGTTACATAAGCTGAACATCTGAAATGGTTTCACAGAAGCTGAGTTGAACGTGAGCTCGTTTCGTTGCCACCTTTATTGAGAAATATTGACATGAGCTTGGCAACCGCCAGTAGTCCATTCCACATGCATAGTGCAATGAATGCTGCACTCTTGTGAACTCGCGACTTGAATAAAACGTGGAAGTGATATTTATTCCATACTAAAACGTTGAGTATCCATGACAGGTTGGATGATGATGTAAATAATAAACCAAATTATTACAAATGCACTCAAATATATTCAAAAAGACACACATGAATGCACGTCTGAATGCATTTGTTTGCATTTGTAATAATTTGGTTTATTATTTACATCATCATCTATACTAAAACGTTTTTCAGAAATAACTTTGTGAAGTTGTTTATAGCCAGGCAACTTGCAATGCTGTTCAATGAAGCTCCAGATGTCGAAGGTAGATACAGTGACATTCTGTTACATTGCTTACTATGAACACTAATAAGGAATCCGCGATCCTTACTGCTCAACTATGGATGTATGTAAGAAAAGTCCGACATTTCCTCGTGGCTGAGGCTAAGTTACATCAATTAGGATCTCTGATATCTGGTGCTCTGCGATCTATTTTCTGACTGTAATCATCGGATTCAAACCAACGAGATTATCCGTCCAAGTCACGCTTCTAAGTGAAACCCGCGTAGAGAGGATCAGTTAGCAGTAAGGTCACGTTTACCCGGTAGGATCTCACGGTAAAGTAACTCCAAAGTCTGCAGGGTGAGATGCTATACTTGGTCATGCTGTAACTGTTGGACAGAGCCTTTATATGGCCTTGGGACAGACGCATATTTGACCGGAAAACCCCTTAGGTTTTACAAAGCTCGTGGGAAGTAGGTTCGAGGATATCTAACTGGGGATTTGTTTTTACTTTACATATTATTGGAGAGTCTATCACTGAAATATGTGCATATTTTAGGCGCAAAGAAGTTTCGCGATAAGTTTTTGTCTTCGTATGTGAATTGTGACTACCGACAACCCAGCTATGGTTAGTAATTGCTGAATATATCGCCGGATAACTGAACAAGTGTTGTGACGTAATTCAGAATGCTAAACCTCTTCCCATTGAGCACGACGTAGGTCTACTGTTCAAGGCAACCTCATTCATGTGAATGTTCCATTGGTAATCCGGTGGTCCTGGACCAGAACAACTCAATAAATTGCCTAACTTGTTTTAAATTCGTTAATAACGTGTTCACTTCTTGTGTGATCTAAAGGCCATGTGTTAACTTCATGTGCCACAAGTTGCGCAATTTCGCTGCGACACTCTAGGCAAGTGTATGAGTTGTTCCAGGATTTTCAACATCACTTAGTAGCTAACTAACTACGGTTGGTTACTAACTAATGGCTACCTTCTCTCTATTCTTCTCTATATCCGCCTCATCTCTCTCTCTCTCTGTCTCTCTCTGTCTCTCTCTCTCTCTCTCTCTCTCTCTCTCTCTCTCTCTCTCTCTCTCTCTCTCTCTCTCTCTCTCTCTCTCTCTCTCTCTCTCTCTCTCTCTCTCTCTATCCCCCTTCCTCTCTAGTTATTTATTTTCTGTTCTTTTTCCTGTTATTTTTCTGCATCATCCATCACGTCTCCTCTCCCCTGTGTGCCCGTCCATGTGTGTGTCATCCCCATCGAACGCCAAATGGTCATCACCAAATCAATTATTGTTCGGGGTCCGTGGGCAGAGAGTGTGCCGGGGGACGGGCGTATCTATCGGGTAGAAAGAAGGGATACACGTCCCAGAGGAGGTGGCAGAGTGGGAAGGGGAGGGAGGAAGGAGAGAGAGAAAGAAAGAGAGGGAGATAGGGAGAGAGAGGGAGGGAGTGAGAAAGATAGAGAGAGAGAGAGAGGATGGGAGGGAAAGAGAAAGAGATAGAGAGGATGGGAGAGAGAGAGAGAGAGAGAGAGAGAGAGAGAGAGAGAGAGAGAGAGAGAGAGAGAGAGAGAGAGAGAGAGAGAGCTGGGAGAGGAGAGAGAATTGCTGCTCTAGGATGGATTGATCGAGCTGAAGCTGTGGCATTTAACAAATGTGCGACATTTTTTCTAAAAAAGATACAGCATTTCCGAGTTCCGACCAATTTCCATGCCGAACTATGCTAAAAAAAACTTTTTCGGGCCATGACAGCGATGACATTTTGCAAGTCACCTTTTTATAAATCTCGAACTTTGTGTGAGAAGCCGACCCTCGTGCCGGTGCCGACACGTCAGAATTCAATCTAAAACTGTCACCGGAAAGTCATCGATCAAAACTTTATTCATTCATTGGACAGCTGGTCCGTCTATGGACGGGTCATCTGCAGAAGAGTTCAGAAATAGTACTTCCGGCGACCATTCGAAGTGTCTGCCGCAGTTGTTTGACTAAGGCTCTTTGACTAAAGCTTTTGATTTTTCATTGCGAGCGCCATAGTAGAATTATGCGCAAATAAATGTATAGTAATGAGCTGCGTTAAACGTGAGGCCTTAATGACTGTGTATTATCTGAAAGCGGTGGCTACCTTACTAATAGATTCATAAGAGCTTTCTCAGATGGTGATAAAACAACTTCGCCATTTGTTTCATATAAGCACCACATAGTATCTGAGAAATCTCTTAGCTGTAGGTGATGTATCGATAATTCAAGGAAAAAGGAAAATATTGGATACTGGTCTGGCACAAAGGACAAACAATGCTTTCTGCATTCCAACATTCAAATACCTAGCCTTTAAAATAAAAGAATTTCTCACAAATGAAGAACCGACGATGGATAGCGTTTTGTATCGTGTTGGGAAAAGTTGATGGTAGCGGTAGAATTGACGTTTTACCGCTTTAATCCAATACGCTAGATATTGAATGCGTAAACCAAAATAGAACCCCATTCGCCAAATGTGGAACCTGATTACTGTGGTGTGAAAAAACAACCTTTGAGGCTGCTAAATTGTAGGTGCAAACAACAGAGGGTATTTGACCGAATTTAGGTATCTGATGTCTGGCCAAATTAGAGCAAATCAGTAGTATTTCTGTCATCCTGTTTTTCGTTGTTTGTGACGCTGCGGGGAGCATTCATTCTGGCCAGGGTTCATATTGTCCAGGGTATGATATGCCCAGTGCCGAAGTGGCCAGTGCCTTGAATGGGCCAGAGTTCATATTGTCCCGGG